CGAGGGGCTGCGCTCGCACATCCCCACGCTGCCCTACGAGAAGCGCCTCTCCAAGGTGGACACGCTGCGCCTGGCCATCGGCTACATCAACTTCCTCAGCGAGCTGGTGCAGGCCGACCTGCCGCTGCGCGGCGGCGGCGCGGGCGGCGGCGGGGGGCCGGGAGGCGGCGGGCGCCTGGGCGGGGACAGCCCGGGCAGCCAGACCCAGAAGGTCATCATCTGCCATCGGGGCACCCGTAAGTGCGTCCGCAGCCCAGCTCGGGGAGACGGGCACGGGCACGGGAAGGTCCCGGAGGGGCTGGGTGAACGGACCCACCGGCCGAGCGACGGACAGTTAGAGGGTCCGTCGGCACCGGCGACCTTGAGCACGAGTCGGCGTTCGGCAGGGTCCTTCTGCCACTTGACCGCGGCTGGGAGGGCGTGCGTCTCCGGCAGATTTGCAGCTCCAGGGATTCCGGGGAGTGGGCGCGGGGGGGGGGGGGGGCGCGGGGGGTGGAGGGAGCGGGGTCGTTGTAATAAAACCTAAGACGCGCCCGTTCGGCCGAGGCGCCCAGGACGGGATCCTACAGGACCAGAGAGGGCATCGCTGGGAATACAGTTGGACGTTCATGGTCTGTTTTCTCTTCTCACCTCCTCAGGGTCCCCCTCCCCCAGCGACCCGGATTATGGCCTCCCTCCCCTGGCAGGACACTCCCTCTCATGGACTGATGAAAAGCAACTCAAAGAACAAAATATTATCCGAACAGCCAAAGTGTGGACCCCAGAGGACCCCAGAAAACTCACCAGTAAATCTCCCTTCAACAACATAGAAAACGAACCGCCTTTTGAGTTTGTGTCCTGAGAAGCCCCAGACCCGCCTGAGGATCTGATTCTGTCTCTGTGCATATTGTACATGTAAATATCAATAATGTAATTTAAGAATCACATTTTTCTAAAGGCAATCAACTGTTTGTTATTTATCTATTTATTATCCTGTCGAGTTAATGAAATAGACGATCTCTTTTTAAGTATATAATTTATATAATTTATCCTGATTTTCTGAAAATATGCAATAGCCTGTGATTTCCCCCCCCCCAGCACCTTTGGCAGAACTCTGCGTTGTTGGAAGAACTCTGGCCGGACAACTTCATGCTAATTTATTGCCAGATATGGTTTATTTCTAAGCGATGTTAATAAATGCTATTTACACTTTTTTCTAAAAGTTACTTGTCTAATACATGAGGGGGGTAGCTTTTTAAAAAGAAGAATGAACTTTGTAAAAGATAACTGAACCAGCCATGCAAAATGTGGCTATCTAGCAAGAAACCACCTTTCAGTTAGATTTAGCTGACAGTGGGTAAGAGGGTTAGGCCCCACCTCTCTGAGAGGGCCCCTTATCTGCATCCCTTGCCCTAAATAGTAACTTTGGCCTATATTTATCCTACCCTCCAAACACCCTATGAGGCAAATGGTCACGGCGTATTTATTATTCCCATTTCTCAGAGGCGAAAGCGAGGGCTCAGAGACGATGTTTGACTTACCCAAGGTCACCTTGCCCTGTCTCACCATAGTGCTTGAAGCAAGCGAGTTGGGTCCAGTGGGAACAAAAAGCTAGTTTCTGGGCTCGCTGAGGGAGGGGGTCATGGTGCTTCCGCGGGCTGGGGAGGAAGAGGTGCTCGTGAGCTCCCCGGTGACCCATCCCTCCTGTAGTTACAGGATCAGGTATGTGGACCCGAGTACTCCTTTCAAGGGAGACGGGGTAGACCAGGACGCTGACGTCGGGAGACCCCTTCGGATGCCTCCCAACACAATCCAGGGTCTTTTACGTAAGGCGAGGAGACGGGCCGCTCCCTCGGCACTTCCGCAAAAGTTACTTTTGAAATTGACTTCGTCTCGTCTCCAAGAGAATGATCTCGGCTTCCTTGGCAAGCAGCCTGGGGAGAAGGCGAGCCTCGCGAGGAGGGAGCAGGGCCGCCCCCTAGCGAAGGGGAGAGGCGCGAGGGCGCGCGGCCCGGGTCGCTCCCCCGGAAAGCCCTGGAAACCGGGGCTGTGGCTGGTCTCCTGAGAGGCAGCCCCGCACCTTCTAGGCTCTCCGGGCGCCCTCCGCTCTGAGCCCGAGGCCCCGCGCTCGCGGCGGGCGCGCGCCTTCCAGCTGAGCCGCCGCCGCGCCGCGCAGGCCTGGCCAAGGCGAGGTGCCCCTCCGCCTCCCGGCAGCGGCTTGGTCAGCCAAGGTACAGCGTCGAATCTCCCCCGGTACCCACGGCTCTGCCGCAGGACAATGTGTCGGCAGCATGCTAATTGCTTTAACCTAGTTTCAGACCCACCGAGGGGTTCCTCGCGCGCCGCGGGTGCCATGGACCTCGTCCAAGTGCAATTAAAGCGAGGCCGCGAGCCCGACCCCGAAGCGCGGCCCGGCCAGACACGCGGAGATTCTGGGTCGCGGAGCTCCCAGGAGGCCCTTGGTCATGGACCTGCTCACCCCTTTCAGGCTACGAAGCTTCTCCTGGCCCTCCCCTTAAGAGATGGAGATTTCACACTGGAGACAGAATTTGGGAACGAGAGAAAATAACTCGATTTTGTCCTGTAACTGAGCCCCATCAAACACGAAAGTTGCTTTGGCACAAATGCTTCTATCAGGCATGTAATCTCATTACACTCATTAGAAAGTCAAATGTTAGGCAGACTTCAACTCAATTATAAGTTATCTAAGTACTGTACCGCATTCTTCGTCTGTGTAGACAGACCTGCGTTTCAACTGGGTTGGGTAGTGTGGCACTCGCAGTTAAAACACTACAATCATTGTGATGTGGCACCTTTTATTTTGCGTGCCACTTTTTTTTTGTGGGATTCAATGCTTCAACACATCCTTTAGTGCGGTGCAGATGGAGCGGAAAAGCCGGGCTGAGCATGTAAAACACCAGGGTCTCTATCTTGTCACTCTTCTGTCCTGACTTGGCAAGTCCCTTTAAACACAACCTTCAAAGAGACTGACAGCTTCTTTTTATTTACTCATAATCCATTCATGCTAGTGTAGCAATTCTTAAAAAAAAAAAAAAAAAAAAAACCAACGGCGGCAGTAAAAGCAGAACAAAGGTATCATTTCAGAGGCTCCTTTGGCGTCAGAGAGGCCCGTGCTGCACTTGGTAGGGCAGGCTGGAAGGCCTCTGGCCTGGGGCAGCTCTGGCCAGTACATACAGCCTGGCACTGGAAGGACCAGTGGGCGGTCTGAGCGATGGGTATTCAGCGGTCCTTCTAAGTCCACACGTTTCTCCCAACTTAAAAAAAAAAAAAAAAAAGTTCCGTATGAAAATAATGCAGTAAGCCAAACCCTTGGGTGGCCAAGGACACTCTTTGCTCAGCCTTGCTCTTCTGAGCACCCATAGGCCCCAGGTTGAATCCCAGCCCGGGACCCCCAGGGGAAAGAGTTTCCAGTCCTCGCTGGCGGCCTTAGTCCATTCAGCATAATAAAGAGTCTGCAAACCCAGAACCCGGTACATTTCCTGATCTCTACTGGCGGGCTGACTAAATCTTTCTCCAGTGGTCGAGACTGCCCTGCTAGGGACTGTGGGAGGACAGAGGACTGGAGAGGGTTTCCAGAAGACTTCTGAGAAGAGAGTTGGGGTGAGGTACCCTCCCTTTCCCCCAACACTTCGCCCCCTACCGCCAAATACAAATCCTCAATTCCCACCTATTCAGCCGGTCTCCGTCCCAGGTTGGCCTTTGTGTCAGAGCGCCAATGGCTCTACTCAGTAAAAGCCCCTTCTCATCCCTCTCTCTCCCCTACATTTCCGGTGGGCATGAGGGTTGGAGACCTCCCATCATGGCCTTCAAAGATATTACACCTCATGAAAAGAGGCCTTTCTGGTTCCCGAGGCTGGAAACCTGAGGCATCCTGCTTCTTCCCTTTGTTTTTCATCAGAAAATCCCAGGTTCTGAAAGGAGGTGGGGTGGGGTGGTTCCTGAGGGGAGGAGGGGGGAGGCAAGAGGGGGAGAGGGGAGCCACTTCCCCATCCCCAGCTGGGTGGCCTCTGGGATGGAGCCCCCTTGTGGAGCGTCTTACTTCCGGTGGCGGAGACACCGTGGATTAATTGAAAGCCCTCGTGAAAAGTTGAATTCGGGAACCTGTAGGTCCCGTAGGACAGAAAAGGTAGGGGGAGAGACAGCAAGACTCCCACCCCCGGGGTGGGAGCGGAGCGCACAAAGAGCCTTGTGGGAACTCCTGTGAAATCGGCTGTGGGGGATTCCCAGGACTGCTCCTCAGCCAGCAGTGGGATTAACGCCCCTCCGGCGGAGAGGGCGTGAAGCCTCTTAAATCCATAAACTCATCCCATTTCCATTAATGGGCCTGTGCGGTGGCACCGAGTACCAGCTGCGAGGTTGAACAAACACCAGTTGAGCACTCCCTGGCGAACCTCTCTGGGAAGAGCCCTCGCCCTCCCTCCCACTGCCATTCCAAAGCCTTCTGCAAGCCTGTGGGAATGGTCCTAAATAATTCCACAACCAATTGCGTTTTTGAGATCTGGAACCACTGGGAGGAAGCGATTCCCACGACGGGATGTGGGGTCTGGCCAACAGGTGTTCGGATTTGGCCCAGGGAGATGGGGAAACCCAGGGAGGGAGACTGAGCTGCCAGAAAGCAGGCTGCTGAGGGCCTCCCGGGCTTTACAGGCCGTGGAAGCCGCAGACAATCGAAATGATATCTTTATTGCTAGGTTCATGTCCTGGGCTATAACATATCAATCCCTGTCGTGGTTCTCTAGGATGCACCTGGTATTTCAAACTTGTTCTTTTTTTGTGCTTCTGGGTCCTGGGCTGCAGCTGCCTAAGAGAAGCAAAGAGAGAGGCCCTTACAATGTCTCCAAGACGTGTTGGCATGGTTTGCCTGTCTTTAATGTACCATTAACTATTGTCTTCACACAATATGGGAACTGTAAAGCATGACATGTGTTATAATAAAACACATTTTCAATGATACACTTGGACTTGAGGCTGGGGTGCTGCAAACAAACAGGCCCAAATCTTGTTTTGTCTCCCTTGCTAAGCCTACTGGCAATTAAACTTAAGACCACTGTTCCCCCCCCCTCCTGATCAGCCAATTAAATTTTATGTCTCCTAATTTTTCACATAGAAAAAAGTCTCCGTGCTGGCCCCTAAAGACATTGATTTTCTTGCTATCACCTGGCGCTCAGACCTTAGTTCCATTTATCAAGAAGGGAAACGTCAGGCGTTGCATAAAGTGACTCTGTTACCATAAGGCTCTCACCATCCTGGCCTATTGTTTTCCCTTGTTAATAACTCATTACCAGGATTTAACAAATCAACCATTACATATGTTTTGTGTCTCCATATTTTGATCCGTACGATTAAGCAGATGTTACGATTGAAAATTGAAAAGTCCAAGGCTCCTCTAGTCTGAAAGAAAGAGGGCAGCCTCAAACAACGAGCTAACAATGAGATTCAGAAGATCTTCAGAAAAACATTTACCACCAATAAACAGACTCCAACCTGCTCCATTTCAACCATTGTGTGCTTTGGGGGAATAATTAAGTTTAATAGGAATAGGTCCGGAGGGTTTTCAATGCCAAGACCACAGGTGCGGGGTGGCATGATGAATGATTTGCCTGATTTTTGCCAAGCTCAAGGGCTCTTCTCTTGGACTTTCAAGCAGATAGAAAATATTGTCATTTCTTTTAATTCACAGCATTACTTTCAAGCCGAACAAAGGCAGGGGCCGGGGGGGAGGCGGGGGAAGGGCTGGGCTGTAATGAAGCGCCTCGGGGGCGGAGGTGCAGCGGCGGAGGCGGAGGCGGCGGCGGAGCGCGCTGCTGCGTTTGTGCGCAAGTGACTCTCCTGTGCCACACACAAAAGGCCTCCTTCTCCCCACCTTCTGCCGCCTTTCAGCCGTCGGGCCCCCGCCGAGCCGGCTCCCGGAACTCCGGGGGGCTCCCGGCCGCATCCCCAGGGCGGCCCGGCCTTTGGGACGTCCGCCGCCGCCAGGGCAAACCTCGCCAAACTTTCCCCAAACGCCGCGGGCTGGGGAGGGTCCCCGGCCCGAGGCGCGCATGCGCCCCGCCCGCTGCCCCGAGTTCCCAGGGTTCCGGAGAGCCGGGGTGGAGTCGGACGAGTATCCCCGGAGGCCCGCCTAGCCCCTGCTCCCGGGGCAGTCGGGGCTCGGGTGCCGTGCGTCTTCCTTCGAGGCTGGAAGTGGCTGCCC